CCCCGCCGGGCGGCGGCCAGCAGGACTCGGGCCAGGAAACTGGGCAGGAAGCACAGCGCGAACAGCACCACGACCACGGCCACCAGCGCCTGCGCCCGCTGCAGCTTCGGCTGCTTGTCTGGGTCCCGGAGCCTCCTCTGGAGAACCCTGATGATGCTGGCGCTGCAGAATAGGATGAGGCCAAAGGGAAGGATAAACTGGAGGAAGAAGAGGGCTTCCTGCCAGATAGCACTGAAGGAGGACTCTGTCCGGGGCTCGGAGCCGGGGCACTGGGCCTCGGACAGGAGCACGCTCTGGTGGGTGAGGGCGGCCACCAGGAGCCACACGAGGGCTGAGATCCCCCAGGCCACCCGCGGGGCTAGAAGGTTGACCTTGAGCCGAGGGTGGGCCACTCGGAGGTACCGGTCCAGGGCCACGGCAGTGAGGAAGGCGACGCCTGACCCACGGCAGAGGGCCCGCAGGAAGGACATCACCTGGCAGGCGGTGTGCCCCAGGCCCCAGGTCTTGTGTCTCAGGTAGAAGGCGGCGAGGAAGGGCAGGCAGGCGGCCAGCAGGAGGTCTGCCAGGACCAGGTTGAACAGGTAGACGGCGTAGGGCTTCCACACCTTCAGGCAGAAGAAGAAGGTCCAGAGGGCCACGGCGTTGCCCAGCATGCCCAGCACGCACTCCAGCAGCAGCAGCGAGGCTGCCGCCAGCTCCGCCGCCTCGCTGTGCACCGAGCAGTTGGGTGGCAGCATGTCCCGAAGTCCCCGGGAGGGCTGAGCTCCAGGGATCAGGCTGCTGCTGGCAGTGCACTTTCCCACAGAAGAACAGAAAACACACTGACCAGCATCTGAATGAGGTCAGAGGCAAAGTAAAATTTATTTGAGGAAGGAGGATCGGGGCAGAGGGAAAAAATCCCTTGCAGTTTTGTTTTGTCCTCAAAAAGGGGAAACTATGTTTCGCTTTGCATCATCTGGCATTCAGTGGAAGCTACAGTGTCCTGAGAGTGTCTGGCGTAGCCCGGCTGTGCACCCCAGCTGTCACAGAGGGGAGGGGACCTGGAAAGTTTAATTACATGAAGACAACTCGTCTTTATAAAGTTAAAATCATGATGGAACCAGAAAGTTGTTCTCTAGTTTGAACTGTTTTCCAAGCTCTGGTTCTACGTTCACCTGGAAGAGGATGTGGGGCGACCTGGTCCTTCAGGGTTGCCCGTTTTCCCTTGTCCTCTCATTTTGTCAGATTTTATTTTCTGCTGAGGCTGCTTCCCTGCCCTCCCCCGCTGCCCGGGTCGGGATCTACAGCGCTGGACCGTGCTTGTAAAGCTCACGGTTGGTTAAGGTGCACAGAATCCACCAGGATGTCAGGTCTGTGAACCCAGGGACGTGCCCTGTGTGCCTGAGACAAAACCATGCCTGGCACAAAATGGAAGTCAGAAAATACATGTGAATGAGGCTGGTCATTCCCACCCAGCGCTGGCCTGGCCCACCTGGGCCCTGGTCCACAGCTGACCCCAATTCATCCCGGCCCCGCTCAGCCTGGTTTGGGCTTTGCAGTCAAGTCGGCTTTAGTTCTATCTGGTTTCTCCACTCGGCAGCCACACGGTTTTGGGGAAGCAGGTGGACGTCGGTGCGCCCAGCCTCCTCGCCGGGGCGGATGTGACGCCACCTGCCTGCAGGCTCCTTGTGAGCCTTTGCGATCCTGCCGCAGGGACTGCACTCGCACTGGATCTGGGATGCCGTGGGTGGCTCGACATTGACTGCGGTCATTATTAACCCCTATCTGACACTTAGACTTTTAGCAAAACTTGTTTTTCCCATCCCGGATGGTGATACAGTTCTGCATCACACTTCAGTTCCATGGGCTTCGAGGCCTTCACTTCTGAGACTTCATCTGAGAGCTCTAAGGGGTCTCAGCAGTAAGAACGACGAGAGTTTGCGGCATGCCGCCGGGTGTCTAGCACCGCTGTGCGCTCACCCGTGCTACAGCAATGAAGAGGGGCATGCGGTGCAGCGGGGACAGTTTTAAGCTCTATTCTGTGGATGGAGGCTCAGAGAGGTCAGGGGACTTGCTCGGGGTCACAGTGGGTGATGGGAGACCCTCCCAGCCCAGCTGGTGCCAGAGCCCGGGGTCCCGACCACACTGCCCGGCTGGCAGCACCCTCACTCCTGTGTTCATGAGAAGTCCACATCTCAGGAGCCTGCCACGGCCACTGATTTGCATGATATTTCAGGTAGCTTGCTTTGTAGTCCTTCTGGCTTTAATTCTATCAAGGTTTTCCTTTGGACCTGCAGCCCACACATCATCCCATCTCTGCATCACGCATGTTCACCTGCCTCTGGTTTCCTAAGAAGATGCATTCAGAGAATGGTCCAAGCATCTGGAATTGCAGAAGTGTCCCGACTGGTACTTCTAGTGACACCTTCTCTGAACCATATGCCCATCATAAACGTTCCTTGGGGACACCAGGGGACAAGTTCCAGGCAAGGGTTGGCTGGAGACCACGTGTCTCATCTCTAAGGGTGCTGTAGCTCACGGTGACACCCAGAAAAGCTGGGAACTCACTCAACTATTCAGGGACCGAAATTACACAAATGCAGGAAAGTGATGGATTAAATCTCTTTCTCTCAACTTGCTTAAAACTCAGACCTTCGGCGCTACCCTTCAGTGCAGATTTCAGTGCACAGTGTACCCCGAACTTGCTACATTGTAGATATTCTAGCTCAACAGGTAACACAAACATGAATGATGGCATATTTTCCTTTTTAAATGTAGAAAATCAAAAAGTCACAGACTTTGAAAAAATTCTGCTTCTTTTCCTCAGCACCCTGATTTATTTTCCTTACTCCTGAAAGGTTGACTTGCCCTTTACTTTCTTTTAAAGTTATAATCTTTGAACTTCTCCCTCAGGGGTCTTGTCTTGTTAAACCTTAGTATCCCAGGAGCCCGGGTTTCAGTAACCGTTCTGTTTCCTCAGTGCTCTTCTTCTAAGGAGACTTCTCTGTTCTCAGTTCAGTTTGTATGGTGTATGTTTTTTACACGCCTGTTCTTAAATTTAAATGCTAATGGAATCGTTGCTTAAAAGCAACACACAAATTTAATTCGACCCATTCTTCATTTCTAGTTTTTCTTTTATGTCTGAAAATAACCAGAAGGAAGACTTTGTAAAGACTGAATAAACACTCTGCCTTAGACTTTCCTGCTAGTTGCTTTGAAGGTCCGCAGGGACCAGGCTGTTCCTACAACACTGCCTTCTCTCTGTGATCAGCTGTGAGTTTGGGGTCCCCGAGACCACCCCCAGGTTCAGTAATTTTCTAGAGGGACTCACAAGCTCACTTATATTCACAGTTACGCTTTATTGCAGAGAAAGGACACAGATTGGGATCAGCCAAGCAGGGATGGGCATGGGACAGGGTCCGGGGCGTAATCGACGTGGGGCGTCCCTCCCGGCGGAGTCAGGACAATACCGCTTTCCCAAGATCCGTGCCCAGAGCGTTGTCGACCAGGGAGACCCCTGAGCCTTCTTCACTTTTAATGAAGTACGGTTGATTTACAGTGGTGTGTTGGTTTTTGGTGTACAGCATGGCGATTCAGTCATACAGACATACACATGTTCCTTTCCGGGTTCTTTTTCCTTATAGGCTTTTACAAGATATTTAATATAGTTTCCTGTGCTCTACAGGAGGACCGCGTCATTTATCTATTTTATATATAATAGTTTGTATCTGCAGATCCTGAACTCCCAGTTTATCCTTCCTCCCCCGTCATAACCATAAGTTTGTTTTCTACGACTGTGAGTCTATCTCTGTTTTGTGAATGAGTTCATTTGTGTCTTTTTTGGTTTTTAGATTCTACATATAAGCGATATCATTTGGTGTTTGTCTTCCTCTGTCTGCCTTACTTCACTTAGTACGAGGATCTCCAGGCCCACCCGTGCTGCTGCCAGTGTGTCCAGAGGCTTTTCTGGAGTTCAGGCTGCTGATCCTCATGCTGGCCTCAGCCTCCAGGCCCGCGGAGGTGGAGCTGAGTCTGTGTGACTCAGAGCCCTGCCCCACATCACGTTACTCTCTGGCTGGACCCAAGCCCCTGGGTAGGAAATCTACCCCGGCCAGCCATGACCTTCAGAGGGCTTGGAGATGACCTCTGGCAGCTGGGGGCAAAGGTCAGACATCTTTTGGGCAAAGTTTAATTCTTCACTACACACGTAATTGCTCAGAAAAGATTCAGAACATATTGTGTTGCTTGTTTTGTGCTGAGGCTGCAGACACTTATAATTCTTACAATTCTGCCCAACAGTCAGACGCAGATATTCCAGCGAGGACGACCAACGGGCGCACAGATTTGTAGAGAACGACATGATAGCATTCGACACAGCGTGCTCCTGGCGGGAGTAGGGTCAGAGAGGGAGGGGGAACATCCTGGGTGCACGGCTGCTGGGGTGCGAGGGTGGGTGGCTGGAGCGGGAGCCACAGCTCAGCCCTGAGCTGGGACCTTCGTCTCACGTCGGGAGGGTGCGGGTTTCTCACAGCCTTGGTTGGCGGCTTCCTCACAGACTCTCAGAAGCTCCCACACCCAGGCGACGGCCCGGGGTCCTTCTCCTCGCCTTGGCTCCACTCCCCCGGGATGGGACTCGCTGACTTTTCATTCTCTTGTCCTGTTTTCACCTCCGGCCTGGGGACAATGAGCATCAGAGAAAGAAGCTATGTCATTTCCAAGAAGAAGGAGTTGTTTCAGAAGAAGAAACTGGAAGGACAATCCCAGAGGTGGGAAGTCACGCGCGGGCAGCGCCTGAGGGGCTGAACATCTGTCTCAGTCTGTGGTTTGTGTCAAGGAATTTTAGCAGCCTCAGAACAGTCCCGCCACGTGCACAGCAGCAGAGGAGGGGATGGGTAATGTAGTCAGTGTTTCGTGCATAAGAAGTTACTTGTTATAGAAAATTTTTTAATCTTAAGAATCAAATAAAAATAAAATTTCTATGAAAGTTGATTAATTGTCCTCAAACTCCAACCCAGTGTGCAAATGCACTCTTTAGTGTTAAACAAAATTGTTATTTTCTTCTTTTTTTTCAGTAAGGGGTAAAATTAAAGCGTTTCAGACTCTGATGGATGGAAAGCCCCTGAACTGACCTTCCCGAGGCCCACGCCAGAGGACGGCGCGGACAGAGGACAGAGCGCAAGCGCAGCCTCGGCGAAGGGGACTGGGTTTTAAATGTGTTCTTTTCCGTTTCATTGCTCTTGGAGAACTTGACGTAACGGATCAAAAAATGGCTTTCCTTATTTTTTGTGAAACTAGTGATTGGTGATTATGTTATGTATTCATTGATTTGCTCGTTCATTCAGTAAATTTGCAGAGCACGTGCCACACGCCCAGTCCCGCTCCGGCCCTGGGCGGGCAGCGCTGTCTGGAGACTGGATGATCCGTTCAGGTGGGCACACCTGGACGGCCAGGTGGGGTGAGTGCCGTGAAGCTGGGGGTGGGGGAGCACTGATGACGGCGGTGCTAGTTTGGAAGGTGGCCCCTCGAAGGCCTGCCTGGTGTTTGTATTTCTGTGGTGTTGTTGTAATGTCTCCATTTCCCTTTCTTGTTTCGTTTACTTGTGTTCTCTCTCTTTCCTTCTTGGTGAGCCTGGCCAGAGGTTGGCCAGTTTTGTTTATATTTTACTCTTTCAAAAAACCAGCTCTTGGCTTGACAGATTTTTTCTATTTTTCAGAATCTCTATTTGATTGACTTCCTCCCTGATCTTTATCATTTCTTTCCTTCTGCTGACGTTAGGTCTGGTTTGTTCTTCTTCTGCTAATTCCTTCCGGTGGCAGGTTCGGCTGTTTATCTGAGATTGCTCCTG